TGTGGTCACTCACAGACCAGAGTCCAGGCCAGAAAAGTAGTAAACACCTCACCCTTGATTGTACCACCTTGGAAAAACTGAAAATTTACAAGTCCCTAGAAATATCTCTGAAAACAGCTGCACAAAACTCCAGAAGTTGGGGCAGTACAACCTCCACACTAGAAGCAGAACTTTTCATTAACAAGTAGTTTAAAAGTCAAGTAATTGGCTGGGAACATGAGCAAACAGTGCAAAAAAACCACAAAAAACAAAAAACAGAAACCAAAACCTTATATTATAGAATCTTACTTTGGGGACAAAGAAGATAAAAAAAAAAAATGACCAGAAGGAGACACCAAAGTCAAAGTTCCTACATCCAAAGCCTCCAGGAAAAATAAGAATTGGTCCCAGGACATGGAAGAGCTCAAAAAGGACTTTTTAAATTAAATTGAAAAGTTTTATTCATTCATTTATTTATCTATCTATCTATTTATTTATTTATTTATTTTTAGTTTTTAACATTCATTTCCACAAGATTTTGAGTTCCAAATTTTCTCCCCATCTTGTCCCTCTGCCCTCCCCAAAACAGTGTGCATTCTGAATACCCCTTCCCCTAATCTGCCCTCACTTCTATCTCCCCCTCCTTCTCTTACCCCCTTCCCTTTCTATTTCCCTGTAGGGCAGGATAGATTTCTATACCCCATTGCCTGTATATCTTATTTTCCAGTGCATGTGAAAAACATTTTTAACATTTGTTTTTAAAACTTTGGGTTCCAAATTTTTCCCTTCCTCTCTCCCTATTCCCGTCATTGAGAAGGCAAGCAACTCAATACAGGTTATACACGTGTAGTCTTGCAAAACACTTCCATAGTGGTCATGTTATGGCAAACTAACTATATTTCCCTGCATACTAAACTTCCCCCCTCATTTATTCTATTCTCTCTTTTGACCCTGTCCCTCCTCAGAAGTGTTTGCTTCTGATTACCCCCCCCCCAATTTGTCCTTCCCTTTATCATCACCCTGCTCTCTTATCCCCTTTCCCCCTATTTTCTTACAGGGTAAGATAGATTTCCATACCCAATTGAGTGTGTATGTTATTCCCTCCTTAAGCCAAACCTGATGAGAATAAGATTCACTCATTCTTTCTCACCTTACCCCACTTCTCTTCCACATTAAAAGCCTTTTCTTATCTGTTTTATGTGAGATAATTTACCCCATTCTACCTCTCCCTTTCTCCTTCTCCCAGTATAATCCTCTCTCACCCTTTAATTTTATTTTCCAGATATCACCCCTTCATCTTCAACTCACCCTGAGCCCTCTATCTATCCATCTATCTATCCACCTATCTATCTATCTATCTATCTATCTATCTATCTATCTATCTATCCATCCATATAATTCTCTTTTCCCTCCAACTACCCTAATACTGACAAAGGTCTCATGAGTTACACATATCATCTTTCCATGCAGGAATGTAAATGATTCAACCTTAATAAGTCCCTTATGGTTTCTCTTTCCTGTTTACCTCTTCATGTTTCTCTTGAGTCTTGTATTTGAAAGTCAAATTTTCAGTTCAGGTGTGGTCTTTTCATCAAGAATGCTTGAAAGTCCTCTATTTCACTGAATGTCAATTTTTTCCCCTGAATGATTATGCTCACTTTTGCTGGGTAGGTGATTCTTGGCTGTAATCCTATCTCCTTTGCCCTCTGGAATATCATATTTTAAGGCCTCTGGTCCCTTAATGTAGAAGTTGCTAAATCTTGTGTTATCCTGATTGTGTTTCCACAATACTTGAATTGTTTCTTTCTGACTACTTGCAATATCTTCTCCTTGACCTGGGAACTCTGGAATTTGGCTACAATATTCCTAGAAGTTTTCCTTTGGGAATCTCTTTCAGGAGATGATCCAGTAGCAGCTGCCACCCCAGGGCTGGACTGGGACTGGGGCTAGGACTAAGCTTTTCTCTCACCATGGTTACAGACATTTCCTACTGACCTTCTAAGTTGTCTTTGGTGTTTGTGTGTTGAGAAGTCTGGGAACCACCATAGCTGCCCATGATTCAGTCCTCTGAGGCCTGTTCAGTGTTCACTGAGACCTGGTCTTTGCCTGCATGCCCACACTGAACTGCATTACTCTCCCAGCCAGGTGTAATAGACCTTTCCAGTCAACCATCCAGGTTGTCTTGGGCTGGAAATTTGTTTCACTCTGTCTTTTTGTGGGTTCTGCTGTTCTGGAGTTTGTTTAGAGTCATTTTTTACAGGTATTTGGAGGGCTTTGTGGGACAGCTCAAGCAAGTCACTACTTTCACTCCAGTATCTTGGCTCCACCCCCTCTCAAAAAGGATTTTGAGCAGCAAGTAAGAGAAGCAGAAGAAAATTTTGAAAGAGAAATGATACTGATGCAAAAAAAACATGAAAATTGAGTTAACAGCTTGCTAAAGGAGACCCAACAAATACTGAAGAAAATAACAACTTAAAAAATAGACTGGGGCAGCTAGGTGGCATAGTGGATAGAGCACCAGCCCTGAAGTCAGGAGGACCTGAGTTCAAATCTGGCGTCAGACCAAACACTTGACACGTACTAGCTGTGTGACCTTGGGCAAGTCACTTAACCCCAATTGCCTCACCCCCCCCCAAAAAAATAGACTAACCCAAATGGCAAAAGAGGTTCAAAAAGCCAATGAGGAGCAGAATGACTTAAAAAGCAGAATTGGTCAAAAGGAAAAGGAGGTCCAAAAGATCACCAAAGAAAATAATGCCTTAAAAATTAGAATGGAGCAAAGGGAAGCTAATGACTCTATAAGAAATCAAGAAATTATAAAACAAAACCAAAAGAATGGGAAAAAAGTAGAAGACAATGTGAACTATCTAATTGGAAAAGCAACTGACCTGTAAAATGGATCCAGGAGAAATAACTTAAAAATTATTGGACTACCTGAAAACCACGATCAAATAAAAGAGCCTAGACATCATCTTTCAAGAAATTATTGAGGAAAACTGCCCTGATATTCTAGAACCAGAAGAGGAGGGAAGAAAGGGGAGAATTTGGAACTCAAAGTTTTAAAAATGAATGTTAAAAATTGTTTTTACATGCAACTGGGAAATAAGATATACAGGCAAAGGGGTATAGAAATCTATCCTGCCCTATAGGAAAATAGAAGGGAAAGGGGATAAGAGAAGGAGGGATAATAGAAGGGAGGGCAAATTGGGGGAAGGGTTATTCAGAATGTATGCTCTCTTGGGGTAAGTGTAGGGGAGAGATGGGGAGAAAATTTGGAAGTCAAAATCTTGTGGAAGTGAATGTTGAAAATGAAAAATTAATTAAGTAATTAATAAAAGAAAAAAAGGAAAAAAATACCATATGATTTACCAGTAGATTCCAATTTCATTGAGTTGGTTCATTCCTTTGGACAAAGAATCCTGAGTGGACTGTAACAGACAGATATAACTTTAGTTGTAAGCAGAGGTCTTTTACCCCAAAATTATTATCAGATATTTTAATGGCATCATTCTTTGAGTTTTATTCCAGTTTCTAAAGGATACATTAAGAAAACTTTCCTTCCTTCCTTCCTTCCTTCTTTCCTTCCTTCCTTCCTTCCTTCCTTCCTTCCTTCCTTCCTTCCTTCCTTCCGTCCTTCCTTCCTTCCTTCCTTCCTCCCTTCCTCCCTTCCTTCCTTCCTTCCTTCATTCCTCCCTCCCTCTGTCCCTCTCTCTGTCTCTTTATTTTTGTGTGTCTATGTTTCTGTCTCTGTCCCTCTCCATTTCTCTGTCTCTGTCTGTCTCTTTGTCTCTGTCTCTCTGTCTCCCTGTCTCTCTCTTGCTCGTTCACTCTCTCTCTGTCATCTCTAAAGGAAGTAGAACTCTGAGCAATTAAAAAACCAATGATGGTTCTTGGGAACAGATAACAAACCCTTCTCCTCTCAGCCATCTATAAGGTGGCACCAGAAGGGCAGAATGTCATGGATATTGTCAGATGTGGTCATCGTACTGATTATTTTTCTTAACTACTTTTCTGCATTATAACTAGTTAAATTGGGGTAGATTTTGATGGGGAGGGATGAGTATATCCTCTATGTAAAAGAGAAAGTTATCTATAAAAATTATATTTAAAAATGTTTTTCTTGAGGTGACAGAGGGACTTGTATCTGGTATTATCATTTGGGTTTTTTTTTTAAATGTTCTATACATTCCTCTTGGTAGTGTAATTAAAGACTTGTCAAAATGATGGATAGATACCTTCTAGCTCTAACATCCCATGATTCTATCTAAGGGATTATAACTGTAATCAAACTATTATCATCTGGAAAGCTCACATTTACAAAGAGCACTGGACTTCGAGGCAAGAAACCTGAGTTCTGATTCCTCCTTGTGTTTACTAACTGTGTGACCTACAGTAATTCATATTACTCTTTAAGCCCCAGGTTTTGCTTCTGTCATTTAGGAATAATAACATTTCTACTTCTATTCTTGAGGCAACTGCTGGGATAGTGGTGGAAAGAGCCCTGGACCTAGAGTCCAGCAGACCTGAATTCAAATCTGGCCTCAGACTCTTACTAGCTTTGTGACCCTAGCCAAGTCACTCAGCCTCAGTTTGCTTATCTGTAAAATAGGAATAATAGCCCTTAACTCCCAGGGTCTTTGTGAAGATCAAATTAGCTAATATTGGTAAAGTTCTTCTCAAACTTAAAGCATTATGTAAATACTAGCTATTATAATTAAACAAATACCACCCCCCCTTTTTAAATATATAAATAAGGAAATTGAGCTTCAGAGAGGGTAAGTACTTGATCCAGGTACACACAAGTGTCAGTAAACCAAGTCTCTTGGATTCCATGTCCCACCTTCTGTCCCTTTTACCAAGTGTTAATATTTGGGTTGATCCTTGTTATGTACCTGCTTCAGTTGATCTTATATCCATAGGCAGTAAGGTTCAATATCATCACAGCATAAGAAGTTTCCATGAATTATTGTCAACCATAGGTCTGTCTCATCTCAGAAATGCACCTATTTCCTCCCCAACAGGGCGAAGGTAAAGAAAGGTATGAATATTATTGGTGTTCGAGCCAGCAACCCACACTTATGGGATGTTAAAGAGAGTGTGGATTATACGGGGAAATATGTGTGTCAGAGGAAATCTACTACTTCTGAGAATAGGTAAGTCCCAATATGCATCATGCACACTTAAATCCATTGATGTTTCCTTTATCTTCTTTTTTTTTTTCATTTCTTTGCTGGATCCCGTACAAATACGCATTTCTATCACAGTATATTTTTCTCCTGTGGTGATAATGCAAAAACATAGAGATAAGATGGATAATCTCCTTCATTTACCAAAGTTAGGCTATTATTCACAATGGACTTCTTAAAGATGGAGGTTATCTCTTGGGCTAGAGCCCCATGCCATGTGTAATCCCAAGGAATCTTTCATGTTCAATGGGCTTTATGTTGTCCCAGGGTTACTCTTTTATTAGACACAATTGCTATTTCAATCCATGTCACATATGGCAGATTAAAAGGTATCTGGGCATCTCTCCTAAATATGGTCATATAGACTAAAACAATATGTGCTAAGCATATTTGGCTATAGTTACTTTTTTTTAATCAGACTTGAAATTTCATTGATGAAGGGAACTCTAAGAAAAATTCCATTGATCGATGCAGACTTGCAATTATTTTGTAAATGATATTCATAGAGGATTTGTCTAGGGACACTGAGAAATAAAGTGAGTACCTAGTGATTATATGTCAAAGACGTGACTTGAACTCAGTACTTCTTGACTTCTGGGTCAGGTCTCTGTCTTTTGTGGCACACTGCTACATGTTATCATGTAATAGCTTTGTGTTTCTGGCATCCCTCTGATAACATGAATGGAATTCTGGCCTTGGATTCAGGAAGACCTATCAGAATCCTAGCTCTGCCATTCACTACCCATGTCATCAGGAACAATTCACTTAATCTTTTCAGAGCCTCAGTTTCTTCATTTGTAAAAGGATTTGGACTGATGGCTTATAATATGCCTTCCAGCACTAATACTCTGATTCTATGATCCTACTTGTATGACCCTGGGTGATTCAATTAATCTGTAATGTACCTAGAGGAAACTCCTTAAGGTCACATTTATTAAATGCCTTCTACGCACTCAGACACTTACCAGCTGTGTGACCCTGGACAGGTTACTTAATCCTGTTTGCCTCAGTTTCCTCATCTGTAAAATGAGTTGGAGTAGGAAATGACTAACTGCTCTAGTAGCCTTGGTCAAGAAAACCCCATGTGGAGTCATGAAGAGTCAAATACACCTGAAAAATGACTGAACAACAACAGTGTGCCAGGCATAGTGCTAAGCTGTACTACTTTTAGGTAGTAATTCTAACCTCTTCTTTTTACAGAGGGGGAAACAGGCCCAGAGAGGTTAAATGATTGACCAAGGGCACATAGGTAGTAAGTGGCAGAAACTGGCCTTGAAACCAGGTTCTCAGAACCCAAATTCAGTTCTTTTTACACTGATATAATTCTCCACCACCTAAGTCATGAATGGGTTGTGATGTGCATGGGGAGATATAGTTCTCATACTGGGAATTCTCAATGCTTATTGAAATTGGTGTGTGAAATTTGTGTTCCTATGCAAAGAGTTGATGACAATACACTACTTATCACCTACCATAGGGAATAGAGAGGAGATTTTGATTTACTCTCTATAGAAATAAAAGCTCTATATATCTTATTACCTGTGAAGTAACTTGATAAATGATGTTGTCAGGGTGCCTAGTAAATATCTAGCCTGGCTGTGATTGAACCCATGAACCTCACTGCGTCTCAGATGCCTAGTGGGACTCTTCAGGGAAAAGGCAGGCTCTGCCAGAGTCAAGGTCTCCAAGATGGAGTCAATGTGACGAGATTGTAGAAATAGCTTTCTGCATCTCCTAGGCCAGGGTAAGATTTCTCTAGACAGCACAGACAACATAATTCTGTTCCTGAATTCTAATAGACCTTGAGCCTGGAATAGTGTGGTTAGGAAAATATAATGTGATTCCAGCCTTAAGGAGGCCCTGAAGAGCAAAATAAGTGATAGGGAAGGGAGGGAGGAGTGATGGTGAGCTGGCCAGGTGCACTTTATTTAACACTGTCTTGTGATTACCACACAGGCTGTCAATGATATATTTGTTCCCAAGTGATGGGTTTAAGTAGGGAGCCTTCAATCAAAAATCAATCAATGACCATTTATTAACAAAATGCTTTGTGAGGTGAGAGGGGCAGGGAAGGTTATTATAGACTGAGAGGATTAGAAAGACTTCCTGGAGGAGATGGCCATCTCCCCATGTGCCGTTTGGGACAATGGATCAAATTCGTAGTTTGGCCAGATATTTTATTTTAGGGATTTCTAATTTTTGGTTTCTGTTTCCTTCTAAAAATCATTTAAGAGTTGAGTAGCAAAAGGATAATTCCTAAAGGGAAGCAAGATAATTTCAAAGAGCATTGAATTTGGAGTGTGAGGAAATGAAATCATATCTTAGTTCTCTTATTTCCTGCCTGTGTGAGATCTTCAGCAAGTCACATAACCACTCTGAACCTTAGTTGCCTCATTTCTAAAATGAGTTGGTTGGACTACATGACTTCTGAAGCCCCTTTTAACTGGTACCTCTGATGCCTCCTAACTCTATGACCTAGGGTAAGCCATATAACCTCCTTGGGTCTCAGTTTCCCCCATCTGTAAAATAAGGTGGTTGAATCAGATGGCTTCTAAGTAATTTAATGTATAATATGCTGTCATTGCTAGGATCAAATTGTGGACACTCCTTCCCCCCTCATTCTTGTTTGCAGGATAGATTTAATTTCCTTATTACCTGATTGTGATCACTCCGTAAGTAAAGGCTACAGCCTCTAGCTATTAAATTGTATAGTTTATTGACTCAATTTAATTCAATGTACATACATTAAGGGCTTTTCATATGTCAGGTCTTATACTAGCTGCTAGGGATGCAAAGGCAGAAATAAAATAATTCCTACCCCCTAGGGGCTTACATTCTACAGGGGACAATATAACATATGTACATATAAATCAATACCAGATAGTTTGAGGAAGCAGAAAACGCTAACAGTTAGGGGTCAAAGAGAGGAGCCACAGAAATCTAGAAAGGCTTCACTTGAAGTGTATCCTCTTTTCTGAATTAACTCTTTCAGGCCTCAAGGATATAGAACAGTAAAGAGCTGTTGAAGCAGCAACCAGTGATGTCTTCCTGTGACAGGGGAGTAAGCCCCACTTTCCAGACTAAGGAATAGATTCAAGGAGCATCTACAGAGACACATTTAGAGATGGAAAAAGACTGATAAAGGTTATCTGATCAAACCCCTTTATTTTGAAAAAAAACAAACAAACCTGAGGGCCAGAGAAATGAGTCAGAGGTTTGCCAAATTCATCCACATTGTATGTTGTGGAGATTGGACTGAAGCTAGAACTTGAACCTTGACTCCAAATCCAAGGCTTGTTTTATTAATCAGTGAATCAATAGCAGGCATTTATTAAGCACCTACCATGTTTTAGGCACTGTGCTAGTGCCTAAGGAACACACAGACAAAAATAAAGTAGGTCCTGCTCTCCAGGAGCTCACATTCTATTGGTAATAGTGAGGTTACCATTCCATAGGACAGGCTGTAACCCTTTCATTTATATCATGTATAATTAGATGTCCAATTCCACTCATCAAACAGTTATTAACTACCTGTTGTGTATACGGAACTGTGTAGGAGAAAGACCATTCACTACTGAGTCAGAGGACTTACATGGAAATCCTGTCTCTTACCAGGTGTATTAGTCAGTCAATCAACAAGCATTTATTAAGTGCCTACAATGTGTCAGACACTGTGCTAAGCACCAGGGATACACAGAAAGGCAAATGCCCTGGAGGAGTTCACATTCTAATGAGAGAAATGATTATTAGTAACCAATATCTTGGAGAGGGAGATTCAGAGGTCTCCCCTGTTTCTAAACTCCTCATTTTAAAAAGTTCTGTTTTCGTGAAAGTCATTACTGATAATGAGATTACATTGACTCTCCTCAATCTTAGTCAGACCTCGCTCAACCTTGCAAGGAATTTAATCTAGGGTGTGAAAGCCCATTGTGTTCTACTCTAGCTTTGGTGGAGACAGATCCTTTTGTCTAGATCAGAGGTGGGGCATCTGTGGGCCCGAGGCCACTTGTGGTCCTTGGGTGAGACCTTTTGACTGAGTCCAAGTTTTACAGAACAAATCCTTTTATTAAGGGGATTCCTTCTGTGAAGTTTGGATTCAGTCTAAGGGACACACTTGAGGACCTAGAGGGCCACATGTGGCCTTGAGGCTGCAGATTCCCCATCCCTGGTCTAGATTAGCCCAAAGCTGCTATGGTCTGAGGAGAGATAATTTCTCTGTCCAAGGGTGGCAATGATATCACTAGCAGCCTCTCATTGCTTTGAAGGATATATAAACTGTGAACCTGCCACCATGATTGTCTTTGACCTTAGAGAGAAGGCCAAAGGACCATCCTTTTCTTAAGAACCTGCTGGCTTTATTAATAAAATGATTAAATTATCCAGAAACTATGTCTCTAGAACTGTTTTTAATGGTCACACTAATGGAGGATACAGCATGCAAACAAGGATGTGCATAGTCCAATCCAATCAAAATTAAGCACCTATTATGTTCCAGGCACTATGCTAAGAGCTAGGGATACAATTAATAAACAAGAGAGTTCCTGCCGTCAAAGAGCTTACAATATACAACATAATAGGAGAAGACAAAACACAAAAGGGAGCAGGAGAGAGAGTGGGGCGGGATGGGGGGTTGCCAGAGGGTACTTGGCAGGTGGGGACAGTAATCTTGTGCTGCAGAGGTGAAACCAGGCAGAGCAGCAGATACAAATTGGAGTGAACTGGGAGTCCATTTTCTGCCCTCTATGTGGGAAGACATTGGGAAGAATTTGTCACTCCACTCTCCAGGCAGAAGGGAAAGGAGGCTAATGGAGGTGGAGTCAATCAAGGTATTTGAAAAAGTGTAAGGGGAGAATATAGTCAAGGAGAGAATGTTGGGGGCACCCACATTTAGTGAGTATGACCTGGACTAAGATCCAGCAAAGGAGATTGAGAACAAGGAGAAAGCAGCATCATGAAAACCTACAGAG